TATATATATATATATATATACACACACACACATATAAACATATACACATATATAAGGGTTATATATATACACACACACACACACAGACACACACACACACACACACACATTAACTACCAAAATTTGATGACAAAACAATTTGATGACAATTAAAGTTTGTTAAATCTGTGTATAATTCAGAAACAAATTCTGATATCTTTGGTGTTATATTCAACTAAAAGTGATATTTACCATGAAAAATATTAAATATTATAAAGTCATTTTTTATCAGTTATTTGTATTTATCATGTATTTTTTTATCATTTAAACGATCAGTACACTCTGAAACTTATGGTAGAATAATAATAAAATACTGATAAATGTAGAATTACATTTAACCCAATTTTTATTTTACACACTCACTCATTAATAGTTAGCAGGTAAATCTCATGAAACCGGTCAATAACATGTCTAGGCCATATTTAAAAAATGTAATAATTTATTTAAATACTGTATTTTACTGACAAAAACAAACACACATACACATCATGGTTGTTGTACTGCCTTAAAATAAGGCTAATTAAAAAAATTTTTTATTGTAATTGCAAATTTTAATGAACAAATTGTACAATTTTAATAAATTGTATTACAAAATGTTTTTACTATATTACATTAATTAGAATCATTTAAAAAAATAAAAGAAATTACAAAAAAAGCTCCAAAGTGAAGCATCTGGATGCATTAAAGTATGTACAATAAATCAGAATTTTATGGAAAATGTGTTTTCAGGAAAATATATCATGAAGATGTCACAATGCAAAAAAAAATAAAAATAATCGTAATGTGCCTAAAAATATCCTTATTTTTCTTACATTTCTCTTTAAAATATAAATAGTTATTTATTTCTTTTGTCTGCGGATTGAAAAGTGACCATGACAGGTTTCGTGAGGTTCATCCTAACACAGAATCACCAACATGTCTCCATGTTCTCTATATAACCCTCTAAGATCCATTAACATTATCGATTTAGGACAAAACCCAAAACTATAGTTAATTACTATAACTAGGTTTAGTGGTGTGTTTAACCTTCGCTTTGATCCACGCCTCCAGACGGTCCACCTTCTTATTAAACTCCTGGAGAGCCTTAGCCCCGCCCATCGCCTTGATTTGATTGGCTGCCGTCTGTTTGAGCGCGTTCCATTGGTCGCGGATCTGAGCCAGATGTTTCTTCACCAGGTCAGCCGTCGGGTTAAGCTTGCACATTAATTGCTCTCCCATCTGCACAAACATTCAGCAGCGTTACATGAGCTACAAAAGACCTGCGGTCCACTAAAACAACAGCTTAATCACATCAGCGCGCTTGAAATCCAGCCAAGTCCTCGTTCTCTGACTAACAGGAGATCCAGTTTTGCAACCCACCAGGGACGTGTGTCAGCAGAGGTTAATTATTTGCAATGTCCTATTTCAAGGGAAAAGGACAAATTTAGCATCTGTGCTAGGAAAATTTTTTTTTCAGATTTTATGTGATTTTGGACGTCTCACAAAAAGCTTTCTGAGGCTCTGCAGGTCTTGTCATGAGCTGTTAAAATTGTGTTTTGACAAGTCGACATTAAAAAGAAATTATGATTGTTACCATAACAATTTGTAAATGTTTTGCCGTTTATTCGCAAAAGGGAGAACTTCTTTTGTTGATTTTGGCCGAGGAACCTGTTGAAACCTGACGATGATTCATCAATCTTTTACTCTCCTGATGAAGACGGTTTGTCCTAACCTGGTTGAGTTGAAAGATGGTGTTCTCAAAGTCCTTCAAATCTCTCTGGAGGGTTTGACAAACTTCCTCCCAGTCGGTCAGAGGACATCTGTGGACGTTACTGGCGTCCCTCAGGTCTCGCAGCTTCGCTCTGATCCACGTCTCAGCCTGCGGGACGCGAACATATACCGCTTACTTCAAAATCTAGATCTTTACCTTCCTAGAAATGATTCAAAAATGATTTTCTTATTTAGTATTTTTGTAAATGCACTTGAGAGGCAAAATGTTAAGACTTAAGATATTAAGTCTCGTTTTCTGAAAAGTGTATCAAAATTAAGTGAGTTTATGCTTTAAACAAGAAACTCATTGAATGTTGATACATTTTTCAGAAAACAAGATTTAATATCTTAAGTTATTTTCCTTTTCAAGTAAATGTATTTTGATTTACGAATTTATAGATATTTCTAATGGCAAGACAAAACAAGACAAAAATACATATATATATATACAGTGGGTACGGAAAGTATTCAGACCCCCTTAAATTTTTCACTCTTTGTTATATTGCAGCCATTTGCTAAAATCATTTAAGTTAATTTTTTTTCCTCATTAATGTACACACAGCACCCCATATTGACAGAAAAACACAGAATTGTTGACATTTTTGCAGATTTATTAAAAAAAAAAAACTGAAATATCACATGGTCCTAACTATTCAGACCCTTTGCTCAGTATTTAGCAGAAGCACCCTTTTGATCTAATACAGCCACGAGTCTTTTTGGGAAAGATGCAACAAGTTATTCACACCTGGATTTGGGGATCCTCCGCCATTCCTCCTTGCAGATCCTCTCCAGTTCTGCCAGGTTGGATGGTAAACGTTGGTGGACAGCCATTTTTAGGTCTCTCCAGAGATGCTCAATTGGGTTTAAGTCAGGGCTCTGGCTGGGCCATTCAAGAACAGTCACAGAGTTGTTGTGAAGCCACTCCTTCGTTATTTTAGCTGTGTGCTTAGGGTCATTGTCTTGTTGGAAGGTAAACCTTAGTTCCAGTCTGAGGTCCTGAGCACTCTGGAGAAGGTTTTCATCCAGGATATCCCTGTACTTGGCCGCATTCATCTTTCCCTCGAATGCAACCAGTCGTCCTGTCCCTGCAGCTGAAAAACACCCCCACAGCATGATGCTGCCACCACCATGCTTCACTGTTGGGACTGTATTGGACAGGTGATGAGCAGTGCCTGGTTTTCTCCACACATACCGCTTAGAATTAAGGCCAAAAAGTTCTATCTTGGTCTCATCAGACCAGAGAATCTTATTTCTCACCATCTTGGAGTCCTTCAGATGTTTTTTAGCAAACTCCATGCGGGCTTTCATGTGTCTTGAACTGAGGAGAGGCTTCCGTCGGGCCACTCTGCCATAAAGCCCCGACTGGTGGAGGGCTGCAGTGATGGTTGACTTTCTACAACTTTCTCCCATCTCCCGACTGCATCTCTGGAGCTCAGCCACAGTGATCTTTGGGTTCTTCTTTACCTCTCTCACCAAGGCTCTTCTCCCCCGATAGCTCAGTTTGGCCGGACAGTGTGAACAAAAATGTTTAGCAGCAAAATGGTTTACAACATTAATAATATGAAAAGTTGATTAAGCATCAAATCAGCATATTGACTGAAGACTGGAGTAATGATGCTGAAAATTCAGCTTTGCATCACAGAAATAAATTACATCTTAAAATATATTAAAATAGAAAACAGCTATATCAAATTGTAATAATTTCACAATATTAGTATTTTTACTATGTTTTTGATCAAATAAATGCAGCCTAGGTGAACAAAAGATACATCAAAAACATAAAAAAAATCTTACCAACCCCACATTTTTGAATGCTAGTGCATATACATTTTATATTTTATTTTTGTACAAATTCTAATAGAATAGAATAGAATAGAATAATACACTGCAAAAAGTTTTTTTTTTTTTTTTTTAGCATTGTTGTATTGTTTTCTATCACAACTATCTAAACATCCTTGAATCAAGAAACATTTACTTGAGAAGCAAAATGACTTAAGATATGAAGTCTTGTTTTTGTTGTTTTGATAGTTTTTTCTTAAAACAAGTAAAAACATCTGCCAAAGGGGTAATAAAAAGAATCTTAATTCAAATGTAAAACAAGATTATTTTTCTTATTATGGGTTAAGAATGTTTAGATATTTGTAATGGAAAACGAGACAAAGTAAGAAAAATTTTTTTTTGCAACATATAATGTAAGGTAAGGTAAGGTAATGTAAAGTAATATAATATAATCATTTTTTGCAACGTATAATATAATGTAATGTAATGTAATAATTTTTTGCAACGCATAATATAATATAATATAATATCCTTAACTAAAAGAGTAAATATCAATAAATGTAATAAATACTATATAATAAAATGCAACAAAATAGAATAAAATAATTAATTGTTTCAGGACAAAGATTTGAAGTCGGTGGAAGATAATTGTACTACCTCTAAAGAAACCTGGTCAAAACAAATGGCAATTCTATGCAAAACGACCAATTTCTAAACTATTCAGGCTGGATCACATCACACGGGATGTTAGTTTCATCCTTTCTGTTTTTTTTCTTTGGATTTTATTGTTAATGCTTGAAACATGAACACATGTCGAGACACTTAAGGCCCATTTTACGCTCGCTTAGCTTTCTGAGAGCGCTCTGGAAACACAATATTAAGCAAATAGATGTTAAAAGCAGCACATGTGCGAAGTTACAGTCGCTGTCTATTATTTCACGCCGAGGAAAGTGAAGTTCCTCTGTGACTTCTTGTTTTTGAAGAAAATAGCGATCACTTATGTCTCGACTTACAGAAACATCATCGGGAGATTGCTCACCGTTTCTCAGATGAAGGTTTCTTTTGGCTGGAGCTCACAGTGTGTTGCGTAAGGCTTTTGAAAGCACAATTTCTGGCCATGTTTGCACTGCGTGAATAGAAACCAGCTGGCCGAATCCAGATAGGTCCTGGACATGTTTATTTGGTATGAACACAATGTATGACCACTGGCAGTCTTCAAAAAGCCCACCCACATCAGCACAAACCAAAGGATTTTAAAATGAAGCTGTCATTTCTGCAAGACTAAACGCAAAGCCAATAAAACCAACATATCGGGCTAAATATAAGGAGACAGCTTAGGATAATTATTAGTGCTGCTGGCTACAGAAACCATCACTATTGCTATTGGGCATATTAAAATATTAAACTTCGCCTCATAATTCGTCCCAGACAGACAGACATGATTAATTTCTGTGGAGACCGTCTGTTATTATTTTTACTTGACAATTGTTTATATATAAAAATATAAAATCAAGTTAATTCATGTGCACTGTAAATGATTTCATCCTCCTTCAGCTTAAAAACATTTTTAATGTTTAAAACATTTTTAAAACATAATCAAATTGGCTGTACAAGTCATTTCAACTAATTTTTTAAAAATCTCGTCTGGTTGAATCTCGTATAATGCCGTGTTCCCTTTCAGTCGGTCACTCTCGACGTCACGTCGGATGACCGACGAAATTGGGATCTCGCTTAGAGGGACCAATCTACTTCGAGTGTAAACTAAACGAGCCAATGCACATTGGCATGCGATTATTGCATCCAGCTGCCGCTGATCACAGCGTGAGTATAAGTAGGCAGCAGATGCAGCGCATATTCAGCTTTTCGCTGAGGAGCCGAGCGATCACATCGTTCTGCTCCTGACTACTCTACTGAGAGAAGA